ATAGGGTGTCCGATCGTCTACATCGAGATTTTCTCTAAACATTGAAGAGTGAGGTGAGTAACATTGAAGCGCCCCAATAGTCGTGGAGACCCGGTCGCTGTCTTGATGATGGTGACTCAGTACTCTCCCTTTGAGAGGCAGCATAGTGACGTTTTGGTATGGTTGTATAATACCTCTTATTCGCTTCAGTGTGTCCTCTCAACTTTGTTCAACACCATCCTTCTCTCGATACAAAAGTCTTTGGTTATTGTCACGAAAGTGCCCAGGGATGTTGATAACGTTGCCAGAAATCAAATCAGGATCACAAATGTGCCCATTGTAGATGTCATATAGGTTGTCGACTGCTATCACTATTCCAATAACAAGTATGATCTAAATGCATCGTGGGACTGATAATGACGGTACGTTTACGAAGTAGTAGAGGAAATGTCGATTAAGCGACAACTGGTCAATTCTGTCTTGAGTAGTCTATTCGATCACCCTTCGAAGCTGTCGATGAGACGTATTACTCTCCCGAAAGAACTAGGGGAAACCAACAGTAAATCAGAGGGAGGAAACCATCGAGTTTGGCAGTAGTTGTGATAGAGTTCCTTCCAAGTAGGAACATTGCCATACCAACTACCTTCTAACGTCAACGGCGACTACAGCTGTGCTGGCGTCGCCAGCAAATATAAACAATATTGTCAAGACTATATAATAGACAGCAATCGTTAAAGTCGAAATTGCTCTACCGCAAAACGAGCAACTTCTCTCCAGTAATAGGATCTCTACTCAACTTGTGGCGACCAGAATCGTTCTTACACTTTTGACCAAGCATGCGCATCCGCGCAAATACGGCTTCTGCCTCAGACGGGAACACCGTAGTCTCAGTGGCCCTCCGGTCGGGGAAAAATTCTGAGTAAAAAATTTTCCGAAAAAGGAAGGGAATCGACCACACTACTACTACCTCCTCCTCCTCTTGGCATCAATGCTCCATTGCCAGGCATGCCTTCAACGTGACGAGAACACAAGTCGTCTACTAACGGGTTGGGCCTATCGGATGAAACTGCCGTCATCGTATGTAGACGAGAAGACGATGAATTGTTGATGAGCCGTGAAGAGGAGCACGGCTGAGGTACACGGCGGGCAGGAGGCGGTGGTCTGCGACTTGACGACCACACTGGTGGTTTATTGCCACTACACCGACTACTTGCCTGATGATGCACATGGAAACCTTCATGCGATGCCTAAATGCACAGCGTCGTCCATAAATCCTCCTGTAATAATATTACTACCATAGCACCGACATGATCCTCACAAGGTGGAGCTTCTGTCGAGTTGGACCCCAAACTGTCCGCCTCCTGCTGATCGACTCTTCGTGACACCGTTGCATACGATGACGACACTTGAGAGGCGTAAAATTCCCCCTGTTGTAGATTCGATGGGCTACTCGTGTCACCACTCGAGAATGCCTTCTTGAGCGCCCTTCGTATGTGGTCCATGAAGGAGCCTCTCGACTGATCGTAATCGACGTCAAAGCCTTTGGACTGGGCTCGATGATAGGGGATGCCGACAGTACCAAGGGGTTGGTCCATGCCCATCATTAAGTGAAAAAGGGAAACAACCTCCTGAGGGAAATACGGATGTGTTCAACAGGAAAGACACGAGCATCAGAATCTCGTAAGGAATATGGACGGCAGGTCTGCCATTGTCACCAACAGAGCATGAAAATACTATGATAGAATCACTTCACTACACCGTAAATGGACTACTGCCGTTATAACGTGAACTACCTCTTATACGGCACAAGTGCATTCCACATAGGAGGGGAGGAAGACTGAAAATTTGTACTGAGCACAAGAGGGGAGAAGATCACCAGGATTTTGATACCACCTTGTAGGTGGCCGAACCTCAGTAATACTTTTCGCGTCCATTTTCGATAACAACAAATTTTCGATACGCTGACGATTGTGAATATTTATTTGCTGCTGTATACGACAATTAACAGCAACTGCTGCTCCTGCAGTTTCTTCGCCCTTCGTATCGTCGGTACTATCTACAACAGCGTTGGAATAAATCTTTGCATTTCTCACTAACTATCACAAGTTTACACACGAAGTGTACAGAAGTCAACTAAAACTTCCTCAGAAACTTCATATTGTCACCAACACATGCACAGCAGCCCGTCAGACACTATGACAGCCAACCTTTGAGTAAAAGGGAAATATGAGGAAGTCCCCGGTAAATATCTCAATATTTCACTACAGAAATATACAGCGGCTGCGGTCCATGCCTTGCTAACCTTAATATCATCACTGTCGAAGGGAGTTCATGCGCCAAGATACTCCCACAGAAACCTCCAATTCTTTGCTTCGCTGTTCTGGAGACTTCAATCTCGAAGGTGCGCTGTTTGAGGAATTTCGATTTCGACACAATAATAACTCCTACTTCGTACGCAGGAACATCAATTTCGTTCGACCACTGGTCAAGCCCGGTAGAGTACAGATCGAGGTCCATACAGGCGGTATCGGCCTTCCACACAACCTCGTAAGACTTTAACGGTAAGAGACTCAAATCACCGGCTGGATTGCACTCAAGTGGGATCAACTCGCGATCATGTTGCTCGCTCGACTGAATAGGATCGAAATCTCATAGGCTTCATCACGAGAATGATGAAGATTATTATGGTCATGTCCAAGACAACCTTCTATTACTTCTTCTCATGGGTTGTTTATGAAACTTTTGAGCTGTGCGAGTTAGATGGCCTGTAAACACAAAATTAGGATTGTCTAGGGGCCAGACATAGGCTTCGACCAATATTGATGTTCCTATGCGCGAAATGGGAGTTATTATTATGTCAGGATCAGAATGTCGAAATTGGAGTTTCTATCTTGCCGCATGAACTCGCTCGCCTTGAAGTTTTTAATGGTGAAATAGGAGGCCACATGACCGAGATTGCTGTGTGTTGAATACCGTAACAACCTGAAGAAAGGCCACTCTCCCACTGGCCTACCCATAGACATCATACTCCTCTATTTGTAATGCGTATACACCGTAAAAAAGTAGATCATGGGGCAACAGCCTGGGTAGTAGGAGCAACACTGCCACAAGACTTCTGTCCTTGCCCCTGTAGTGCTGAAAAGTGAAAACAAAGACAAAAGGCATTGTACTAGTAAGCACAGGCACATGTGTAGGGCCCAAGGGCCCGCCGAGACGCGACAGGAGGGCGAAGGTGTGACGAGAGACGATACTGTGAGGAGGCTTACTCGTCACGGCGAAAAGAAAAGATTCGGGCAGCCAAGAGTTGGGTCGGAGGCCTATATTAAACCACCGAGTTGCGACCCTGGGACTTGGCGTAGTCGCCAACGGTTATCTCCTGAGCCTTCTGCCGTGGCCTCGATATCCTAAGGCGACGCTCCTCCGAAACAAGTCGAGCGGGCGACACAATGAGCACTAGTTCTTGCGCTACTCGATAAATCTTGCATTTCCTCAACGCTGGACCTATACGTGGGTAAGCAAATGTCATGACATTGAACCCTCCCCTTGTTGGAGCATTGAGCCTCACTTCAGTCACCCTGTAAAGCCTCTAACGGCGGCTCTACAGTGAACTCGTGTATGATAAAGTCCAGTCTGATTTCCTCAGAAGGCCCTTATTAAATGTCGTTGATGAGAATCTACCGTATCGATCAAGTAACTTGTTATCGTGTTTCGTTGTAGTACGCTGATGCTGTTCATGC